CCACAAGGAGGGCGCTCCGCGAGCGGCCGGGAAGGCAGCGCTGGCGCCTGCGGGGACCTGGCACAGAACCCGCCGTGGGGCAGCTCCGGGCACGGGGCAGCTCCCTCCCCGCTGCAGGAACGTGGCTTTTGCTGCAGGAAAGGGCACTGGGGAGCCCCAAGGGCAAAGGAGGCAGCTCCGCTACCAGCGTCAGAGCCGTGGCCTCGAATCCAAGGACCGAATTCCCCTTGTCCTGCCCAGCCGCAAGGCGAGGCTCGCAGGCAGAGCCCAAGCGACAGGGAGCTCTTTTGGGCTGGGTTTCACCATGCACACACAGCTCCCCCCAGGGAAAGGGCTGCCCTGGTGGGACAGCGGCCGGCGGAAATCCCAGCGCAGAGCCACGCACGGAGTCTTCCCACTTGGATCCAGGGCACCCGGCTGCTCCGACGTGGCAGGTCGGCATGCTGCAGTCCCCCTGGCACCCAGTGGGCACGGTGCCCAGCGCCGCTCACGTGCCTGGCCCGTGTGCCCGTGAGGACAGCGGTGTGTCGGGAGCAACGCGCTCGCTCCGTGCCCATATATGCTCCTGGAGGGAGGGCGCCAGCGCCTCGGAGGAATTCCTCCCTCTGGCACCCGGAGGCCCCTGCGCCGAGGCGCTCTGAGCACCGCGAGCCATGCAGGGAGGCGCAGGGATCCCGCTGCCCAGCAGCTGCCTTCCTTGGGCTGGGACTTTGTGGGACATCTTCCCCGTTCGTGTCTCAGCCCAGCCCTCAATCCTGCCCCTGCAAGTCAGCAGGATCAGACCTCTCTCAACAGAGCAGAGCAACACAGAGATACCAACATGCTAGAGGTGACGCAGGGCCCAGGAACAGCTCCGAGAGCTGGCTCCACGGAAAGCACCAGCTCTCCAGTGCTTGGGAAGTGCAAGCAGGGCTGGACCATCTGCTGCCAAGACCGAGGGCTCTGCAGACGGATGGAGGCCGGGCCGGCCGCATCCTCCGGGGCCGGTGCCAGGGCCTGCGCCTCCCCGCGGGTCCCTGCCGGACCCCCCCGCCGCGCGCTCCCCGCGCGCCTCCTCCTCGGGCAGGCTGCTTTCCAAGTGATCCTGAGCCGGGCTCCCTTCCTGCCCTTCCTGGCTGGGGCCGGGCTCCTGCTCCCCATCTCCTGCACAGAGGGGAGGGAGGAACTGGCGTTAAAACAGTGCAGACGGCCCTGCGCTCCGGGACGCGCCGGCTGTGGAGAGCAACAACTGCGAGAGCTGGAACGGCCCTGGGCACCCCAGGCCCTCCCCGTCT